GAAATACGCGTTATTGGACACTCGAGCATATAAGGACGAACAGTCTTAAACTTATTGGTGTTGTTGTTGTTGTCGTCGTCCCACCCGCGACCCACCCGCGACCCACCCCGCGACCCACCTCGCGATCCACCCTGCAACCCACCCTGCGACCAACCCCGAGACCCACCCGCGACCCAACCCGCGACCCACCCGCGACCTACCCCGCGACTCACCCGCGACACACCCGCGACCCACCCGCGACCCACCCCGCGACCCACCCGCGACCACCCCCGCGACCCACCCGCGACCCATCCGCGACCCACCCGCGACCAACCCCGCGATCCACCCGCGACCCACCCCGCGACCCTCTTTCAAGGGAGGAAAACCACCCGGACCCGACAATACGCGTTATTGGACACTCGAGCATATAAGGACGAACAGTCTTAAATTTAGTGTTGTTGTTGTTGTTGTTGTTGCTGTTGCTGTTGTTGTTGTTGTCGTTGTCGTTGGTGTTGTTGTTGTCGTTGGCGTTTCTGTTGTTGTTGTTGAACTCTCATTCCTGAAGAACAAGTGGCACGTGTGCCATGGCTCTTGCACAACAAGGAAGGGGGAGGAGGAGGTGGAGGAGGAGGTGGGAAGAGGGGGCAAGACATCGCCACTCGGTGCCCAGCAACGGGGCCCAAATCCCAGGTGGGGAGGGTGGCGTGAGGTGGCGCGCGTCGCGACGCGGATTAAAGTGCTCGGGGCGGAGGGGGCACGGGGCGGAGGTCCCACTGGGGCGCTGGGGGCGCGGAGAGGAGGGGGGGAGGTGGTGTGCGTCGCGACGCGGAATAAAGTGATCGGGGCGGAGAGGCACGGGGCGGGGTTTGGGCCAAAGGGTCACAAGGCGGGGCTCCAACTGGGGCGCTGAGGACGGGGGGTGAGGGGGGGAGGTGGTGTGCGTCGCGACGCGGAATAGCATGGTCGGGGCGGAGGGCGACCGGGCGGGGGTTCCACTGGGGCGCCGGGGATGCAGGGGGGGTGGGGTGGGGGGAGGTGGTGTGCGTAGGAGCAGGTGGTGTGCGTCGCGACGCGGAATAAAGTGGTCGTGGCGGAGGGGGTGGTGTGCGTCGCGACGCGGAATAAAGTGGTCGGGGAGGAGGGGGTTCGGGGCGGGGATCTTTCTGGGGCGCTGGGGATGCGGGGGGAAGAGGGGGGGCAGTTGGTGTGCGTCGCGGCGCGGAAAAGAATGAATGCTCGGGGCGGAGAGGGGGCTGTGGGCGGGGCTCCGACGGGGGCGCTGGGGATGCAGCAGTGAAAGGGGGAGGTGCGTCGCGACACGGATGAAGTTGTCGTGGCGGAGGGGGCACGGGGCTGGGCTCCTACTGAAGCGCTGGGGATTCGGGAAGAGGGGGGGGAGGAGGTGTGCGTCGCGACGCGGAATAAAGTGGTCGGCGCGGAGGGGGCACTGGGCGGAGGGCACGGGGCGGGGGTCCCACTGGGGCGCTGTGGACGCGGTGGGGGGAGGGGGGAGGTGGTGTGCGTCGCGACGCGGAATAACATGGTCGGGGCGGAGGGCGACCGGGCGGAGGTTCCACTGGGGCGCCGGAGATGCAGGGGGGGCTGGAGGGACCACGGGGCGGGGGTCCCACTGGGACGCTGGGGATGCGGGGGGATGAGGGGGGGAAGCTGCTCGGGGCGGAGGGGGCTGTGGGCGTGTGCGTCGCGACGCAGAAGAAAATGCTCGGGCTGGAGGGGGCTGTGGGCGGGGCTCCCACGGGGGAGGCGGGGGAGGTGGGTGTGCGTCGCGACGCGGAATAAAAAGGTCGGATCTCTAGACACGTCGTGCAAGAGGATAATTATTGTTGTTCCCCCCCCCACCGGTGCATACTGATTTATCTCAGTCAAAGTGTGTTCCTCGACTCTCGCATTTTGTTTTTTTGTTAAGGAAAATCTTGATGCTCAAACTGGGCCCGTGGCCCCCAGGTTACAACAACAACGGCTCCCGCCTGAGACTTCTTCACAATTTAGCCAGGACCCCGCTTCCGCCCGAGACTCCCTCGCATTTTATTCAGGAATCGCGCTCTCGCTTGGGACTTCTTTCCAATTAATTCAGGAATCGTTCTCCCGGCGCTCTGGAGTCGCGCTCTCGCTAGAGACTTGCTTGCAATGCACCGACGAATAGCGCCCTTGCGTTGGAATTCCATGCAATTTACTCATGCGCCGCGCTCCCAACACTCGGGCACCCAGGAGTCGCGCTCACGGTTAGGACTCCGTCACAGATGACATGGGAATCGGGGGATCTCGCTGCCCTCCGTGGCCCCGTTGCAGCCCTTCGTGGCCCCCTCGTTTTGTTGCGTGGTCCCGTTGCCGCCTTTTGTGGCCCCCTCGCTTTGTTGCGTGGCCCCGTTGCAGTCCTTCGTGGCCTCCTCGCTGTCCTTGGTGGCCCCGTTGCAGCCCGTCGTGGCCGCCTCGCTTTGTTTCGTGGCCCCGTTGCAGCCTTTCGTGGCCCCCTCGCTGCCCCTCGTGGCCCCGTTGCAGCCCTCCGTGGCCCCGTTGCAGCCCTTTGTGGCCCCCTCGCTCCCATTCGCGGCCCCGTTGCAGCCCTTCGTGGCCCCCTCGCTGCCCTTCGTGGCCCCATATATGTATGCCCTTCGTGGCCCCCGCTCGCTCGCGCCCGTGGTGGCCCCATATGCATGCCCTTGGTGGCCCCGCTGTCGCCCGTCGTGGCCCCCCCGCTGCCCTTCGTGGTTCCGTTGCTGCCCTCAGTGGCACCGTCCTTGCCCTCCGCGGCCCAAACATACATATGCCCTTCGTGGCCCCCGCTCGTTCGCGTTTTGGCCCTGCTGTCGTTCTCTCTCGCTATCGCTTTCGCTCGTCGTCGCCGTCGCCGTCGTCGTCGTCGTCGCCGTCGTCGTCGACGTCGTCATCGTCGTCGTCGTCGTGGTCGGTCCCCTGTCAGTCCCTCTTGGGGTCGGGTCGACGGTCCGCGGCCGCCCCGCCGATCAGCGCTGCCGCTGGCCAGGCCGACGGTCCGCGGCCACCCCGCCGCTTGCCGGGGCTGCAGGGAAGAAAGGTGTACCCCACAAAAGGGGTTCGATCGTAGACGAAGAGGCGGGTATCGAGGGTTTTGGAAATACGCGTTATTGGACACTCGAGCAGATCAGAGCGAACAGTCTTAAAATGATTGTTGTTGCTGCTGCTGCTGTTGTTGCTGTTGTTGTTTGTTGTCGTCGTCCCACCCGCGACCCACCCGCGACCCACCCCGCGACCCACCTCGCGATCCACCCTGCAACCCACCATGCGACCAACCCCGAGACCCACCCGCGACCCAACCCGCGACCCACCCGCGACCTACCCCGCGACTCACCCGCGACACACCCGCGACCCACCCGCGACCCACCCCGCGACCCACCCGCGACCACCCCCGCGACCCACCCGCGACCCATCCGCGACCCACCCGCGACCAACCCCGCGATCCACCCGCGACCCACCCCGCGACCCTCTTTCAAGGGAGGAAAAACCACCCGGACCCGACAATTGAGTTTTACTAAAACGTCCCTTGGCGTTGACTAAACCGCCTTGCCCTGTTTGATTTATTCCTTGTGTGCATTTACTAAACGGCTTCGCTTGTCGGGGTGATTATTATGGGGTGAATTTTCTGGTCTCTACCCCCGCGACCCAAACCGCGACCCACCCGCGACTCACCCCGCGACCCACCCGCGACCCACCCGCGACCAACCCCGCGACCCACCCGCGACTCACCCGCGACCTACCCACATTGGTTTAACGAATAAATCGGTGCCCGCGGCGGGCTCGTTGTATAATGTGTCAAAGTTTGGCGCTTGCGGCGGGCTTCCCCAGAGTCTCGCAAACGGCCGACGTCCCCACCGCCCCCTCACTCTTACCCGCCTCTGCGGGGTGCTACGTGTGTGCATATATATGTATATGTATATGTATATAGGATGAGTAACGCCATGAGGAGGATGGAAAGGATGAGAAGGCGATGAGGAATGCTGTCGGTGTTGTCTAGCGAGCCGAAACTTCGAATTTCCAGATACAAGCAAGAGGGGTAGGAAGGAACAACCTTACGATGACGAGGGGAAGACAGGATAAAGAGGAAGAAACTGAGGAGGAGGAGGAGGAGGAGGAGGAGGAGGATCATGGCGTCTCTTCCGCGAGCGGCTAGTTGAAGCATCTGGGCCGAGCTTGGGGGGGGGAAGGGGCGGTGGGTGAGGAGGTCGTCGAGGCCCCGCTGGAAAGCTCCGCCCTCTTCCCTCTTCGCCCTCCTCCCTGCTCGTCTCCTCCCCCACCCCTCGGTTGCTGCTTGCCTCCCGAAGGCCTGCTCCCTGAGAGCGGCCAGGGTGCCAAGGCCCCACCCCCCCTGGGTAGCTTCATCCCTCTCTTGCCGCCGCTCGCGCCCTGGCTCCGCCAGTGTGCCCTCGCCTCAGAGCAGGAGATAAGGTACCCATACCAGGAGCGACCCTTCGCTGGAGTGATCTTTGCTGCGGGCCCGCTGGGGTCCTCCGGCCGCCGAGCGCGATGCGACAGCATCTGTTTGTGCGCGTGGGTCCCTCCCCCCACCAACCCCTCCCCCGCCCTTATCTGCGCACGACGCTCGGTCCGTGTCGTGTCGACCGGCGGCGACCCCGCTGCCGGCGTTCAACTTTGAACGCCGATGGCGACCCAGAATCGGTCGATGCTGCACGATCTGACGTTTCGCGGAAACGGCCGACCGTTCGAGGTTGAACGGTCCCCGCGGCGTCAGGAACCAACACCGAGGCCGGCACGGCACGAACCTGCCGAAGGGCCACTCTGGCGCGTGGCCGGGACTCGTACCCTCAAGCCGGTCTTTGGGTTGTGGAGGACGATCAATAGAGAGGAAGCATGTTGCCAAATCATTTCCAGATGTCTGAAACATGTCTTAAGCATGTCTTAAACATGTTTAACACATGTTGAGAACATGCTTCCTACATCGTAAACACATTGGTTAGGGTGTCCATTGTCGTGGCATCCACAACCTTTGGGGAGCGCGGGTGCGCAGCCATTTTGGCTCACGCTGCCGTGTGCCGTGGCAGGGCGGGGTGGTTGCGCGGCCGAGGGGCCCCCGGCGCGTCACCCGCGCGTGCAGGTGCCCGGCCTCCGCCGGCACCCTTTTTGGCGCGCGCCACCCGGCGCACGCTCATGTCCGCCGGTGGGGCAGGTGCACATGCCGCGCCATCTCGAAGAAGCGAAACGCCGTGCACAGAGATGCTGCCGTAAACAGGTATGCTGTTGGCGCTCCGCGCGGATTCCTCTGATCTGCGCTGGACCCCTCCTCCCCCTTGCGCGCGGAGCGCGCCAGGGGCGGCGCCGGAGGCGCCGCCAGGGGCCCCCGCGCAGATCCAGGAAATCCGCGCGGAGCGCCAGAAGTTCATGTTTGTGCCGCTTTCTCTTCTTCGAGCCATCGCCCGAGGAAGTCATCCTCGGGGGGCAGCTCCTCGGAGGCGCCCACCGTGGTCGTCAGCTCGCCCTCCCGGAAGCGGTGCCGCAGCTCGAGCTCCTCGGGCCGCAGGCCCCGGGGGGTAGGAAAGGAGGGTGCCGCAGCCGCTGCTCGTGCAGGAAAGCCCTGGTCACCACGGCTACTCAGCTGCCTCGATACGCCCGTTTTGATACGCAACACGTGCCGTGTTCAAAACGGCCGTATCAATACGTTGCGTGTTGGCCCACGTTTTGGCGAACGGATCGCGTCAGACCTGCGTGTTCAGTCTACGTGTTGAGCTCCGTATCAAAACGCTACGTGTTGCGTGTTGCTTATCGGGGCAGCTAAGCACGGCTGACGTCTGAGCGAAATTCTGGCCCGAGCGCACCCTGGGAGATCAGAGGAGAAAAAGGTACCCATACCGCTACCCTTTCTTTGTTTTCCCCCTTCTCTGGGCCTCCCTGGGGGGCCCTCGTCGCCACCGCCGGATTCGCCCTCGAAGTCCTCGTAATCCTGGTCAGAACGCACCCCAGAGCGGTGTTCGCACCTTTGGGTTCCCCCCACGAGCGCACCCTGGGAGAGGTTTGGGGAGTGGCGGTGTCGGCAATCATCGAGAATAAGAGAGCCCCTGACCCGAATAACAGAGTGTAGACGTGGCCTCACGTAGGTCCCCGTCTTTGCATCAGGGATGACAGCTCTGGGCGGTTTGGTTTGATAGATTTGCAGAAAAGGCCCCACATCCCTAATGTGTGTTTGGCCCTCTCATTGCTGCTAATCGGGTGACTGTCCTGCTTCCCCGAGGAAGCGGGGCCGCAGTTCGAGCTCCGCGGGCCAGAGGCGGAGGCGGAGCGAAGACTCGCGGAAGGCGAGGGGAGATGACGGCAAGGGCAAGTATCGGAAGCGATCCGTTGCCAAAGATCCAGCTGCCTGCGGCAGGCCCCGCAGCCGTACGCTGGAGGCCGCAACAAAAGGGGGGGTCACAGTGGGGGGGGCGGGTCTCATGTGAGCTGTCTTGGAGGTTTCGGATGGGGTCTGGGCAGTCGGCAGTCCAGGGGCGGGTATGAGACGGCGCGTCTGGAAGAGTTGTGAGCCCCTCCCCTCGATTGCGAGCTCTGGAGTGCCCACGCAGTCACCTGATTACCCGGGGGGGGGGGGGCATTTGGGCTCAGAAGCCGGTCCCGCGCCCGACGACGCCACGCCAGGGTGGTCCACGAGGTCCCAAGACGGGCAGCAGGAGGGCCCCCAAGACGCCACCAGACGGTCCACAAATGCTTTCAGATGCCTCCTGGACGGCCCCAGAGGGCCACCACGTCTAACATCTGGCGTCGTTAAGCGCCTTTGGCCCGAGAGTGCATTTCAAGCTGGAATCGTTGCTGGGTCAGTCTTGGGCAGCACGCGACTGGGAGCTGATTGCCAGAACCTAGGCATCCGAGTGTTTTTTTCAGTCTTCCTCTCCTCACGCACCGTCTGGTGCAAGGCTCTCCCTGACCAGGAGGAGGAGGAGGAGGAGGAGGAGGAGGAGGAGGAGGAGGAGGAGGAGGAGAGGGAGGAGGAGAAAGAGGAGGAGGAGGAGGTTGAGGAGAAGGAGGAGGAGGAGGAGGAGGAGAGGAGGAGGAGGAGGAGGAGGAGGAGGAGGAGGAGGAGAGGAGGGGAAGCAGGAGGAGCAGGAGGAGGAGCAGGAGGAGGAGACCTTGGGAGCCCCCCAGAGCTTCGGTGAAGGCCCCCGAGGAGGCCCAGAGGGCTCTAAGAGATCGTCTTGCCGGTACCTCGAGGACCTCGGGGAGCCTTTGGGGCTCTCTTGAGGGATCTCTCGGGTCCTAGGGCATCCTTCTCCTCCTCCTCATCCTCCTCCTCCTGCCTCCTCCCCCTCCCACTCCTTCTCCTCCTCCTCCTCCTCCTCCTCCTCCTTCTCCTCCTCCTCCGTAGCCATTTTGGCTCAAGATGCAGGTTTCCCCTGGGAACCAAGCGGATACCGCTAGTCCGCGGCTGGCAAGACTTCTTGAAGTCTGGCATCTTCTCTCCGACACAGCACCTGCGCTCGGGGCGAGGGGTAAACGGAGGCATTTCCCGTTCCCGTCGGCCCGATCGCACCCAGCCTCGAAGCCATGGGCCCCGCGAGGGGCGGCACACAGATGGGTGATGGCGGTGCTGGTGGCAGCGGTGGCGGCAGGCAGACCAGCAGTTCCTCGCCCGACACAGTGGGCAGCAGGAGCGCCTCCCGCAGTGAACACCGCAGGCGTGGCGAACGCCGCAGAGAGCGACGACAGCAAGCAGCCGCCAGCGTGGAGGCCACCCCGCGCCCGCGCCCTCTGCACGACGCACGCCTGTCTGGCTGGGACGTGGTGCCCCCCACCCCGCCGCACGCCGCCCAGGGAAGTCAGGCTGGCGGTCACGCGGAGGGAGGAGCCGCTGCTGGACCACAGCGCGGCTTGGTGCTCTCCGAGGGCGACGTCGAGGCGCTCGAGCTCATGCCGACCTTCGCATCGCAGCAGCCACAGCAACACGGCGAGCAGGATGCCTGGGCAGCAGCGGCAGCGCAACGCTTCGGCTTTCCGCCCGCAGCAGGAGGAGCGTCAGCCGCCGCGCCTGGCACACCAAACCTCTCCAGCATGCTCGCCAACATGGAGCGCCGCCTCGGCTCGCAGATCCAGTCAACGACCAGCAACCTCTCGCAGATCTTCCAGTCCACCCAGCAGGAGTTCGCCCAGGCCGTCGACGCCCGCTTCGCCGCGGTGGACTCGCGCCTGGGCTGCATGGAGCAGCGGATGGCAGACTTCGGCCGCCTTCGTCAGGAGATGGCCGATCTACGATCAGAGATGGGCGTCGTGGCGTCGGCCACGCCTCAGGCCCCAATGCTGGAGACGGGGTGGTCCAGGCCCATCCACCCCACCATCCTGTCCATCGTGGCACGCGCGAACGTCCCGAAGGAGGCGGTCGCGAAGGCGATGCAGCAGCTCCTGGTGGACGCCGAGCTGCACAACCTCAACCCGGTGGCGACAAAGTTGGAGGGCGAGGATATGGGGAGGCACTTCAAGCTCCGCTGCGTGCGTGGGCGCTGTGGGCCTGGCCTCACGGCGCCTGGGGAAGCTCGTGGGCCTCTTGCGTACTGGCCCGTCCACGTGGAGAGAGTTCGCGGCCGTGCTACCGAACGGATCAAACGTCCACCTCAGCGTGGGCCGCGACCGCAACCAGTCTCAGATCTCCCACGTCATCTATCTCAAGCGTATCAAGTCCGCCCTCCAGGAGACGATCGAAGCACGCCTCTTCGCTGACAAAGAGGCCAACGCCATCACGGTCAAATGGCGCCAGCTGCTCAAGCTCTCCATCGCGTCCCCAGGGGCTATGCCGACGGTCTCTTGGAACATGGTGGCGGTACGTGCCATTGGCCAGACGCAAGACACCCTGCAGGCGGTGGTGGACCGCGTCTTGGAGCCAGAGGCGCAGCAGTGGACGCTTTGACACTCTCTCACGTGCATGGGGAGGTGATGGCGATGGTGTGCATCTGGGGACCTGGAACTGTCGGGCGCTCAAGCAGTCTGGGAGGAATGCCACCAAGAAGATCAAGAAGAAACTTGCATATATTCAGCGACATTGGAAGGGGCCAATGGTGCTGGCATTACAGGAGACGCATGCGTCTGAGCATAGCATGCAGGTACTCCTGGAGCGTTTGGGGAAACCGTTCTGCTGCTTCTCCTCGTGCATGACTGGGGGCCGAGAAGATGCAGGAGGTGTAGCCACGGTGGTGCCAGCTACTGCGGACGGCTACGCCTGCGATTTTGTTTCTGAGGAGATGGTCCCAGGTCGCATCCTCAGGCTCAGTGGTGAAGTTCGTCCCTTGACTCAGGGGAGTCAGAAGTGCAGCTTCATCCACTGGAATATCCACAACCACGACATTTCACCTGACCAACGGCGACGTGTCGCACATCGTCTGCGGCAGGACCTGGCGTGGGCACACCAGTGCCCTGCCACTCGGTCCACCTTCGTCGTGGGCGACTTCAACTTCGGTGACTATGGCGAGACAGACAACTTCCTGGATGCCGACCAGCCACCGCAGACGCAAGCCGAGCGTCCCTGCCGTGGTGAAGGCGGTCGAACCCAGGCGGCACCTGCGACTGGCCAGTCCGCTCGGCTGGCCCGCCACCCTGGCCAACGACAGTGGCTAGAGGCGCTGCGGGCAGCGACGGAGATGATGCCAGGCAGACCAACGCACTGGAACGCCAGCACACGCACCAGCTCTTCCATCGACCGCGTGTTCGTGGGGGTCCCGCAATGGCAGCTATGCCAAGGCTGGCAAGCGTGCCGCGTGCGGGGCGAGGCGCGTGAATTGCACATCAGAGGGATAAGCGATCACTCCTTGGTCGCTGTTTCGCTGCTACGCCGAGCGCCTGGACGCCGACACCACGACACGCCAGCGGCCATCCCCCTCGCCGTGGTCCAGCGCCCGCGCTACAAGGAGATTGTTGACGGGTACCTGGCGATGGTCCACCTGCAGCATCAAGAACCGCCCAACGAATACAAGTACCTCGCGCGGATCCTGCAGGCGGCGGCCAGGGACGTCCAGAATGAGATCCTCGTCGCTGAGGGCTGGACCAAGGGGGCCACCGCCATCATCTGGCGACAGATGGCGAGGGCGTTCTGGCGCCAAGACCGGAGGCTGGCGCAGCTGGTGGCGTCTCAGAACGCCTGGGCACGAGAGCTGATAAGGGTCTCAGAGCTGTCCCGATCGGTCGAGATCCTCGACTACGCTGAGTTCCAGAGGAGATACAACATCGCCCAGCGGAAGGATGCAGCGAGCAGGCGTCGCGCCCTTGAGGAAGCAGTCCAGCATGAGCCCGCGGAATGTCGTCGGCGCCAGCTCATGGCCCAGCAGCGAGCTCTGAAGCGAAGGGCGCGGCTTTGGGCCCCCTTCAACGCTCGGCGCTACCTCGCGCGCCTCGAGATGGAAGGAACCGGGCTGACCGAAGCCACGGACATCAACGCAGCGCTGGGCCAGCATTGGGGCAAGGTATTCTGCCCGCCGACGCCCGCCGCACTCTCCAGGAAGAGAGCCCGAGAGCAGCCAGCCTACCTGGAGCGCTTCGGGGTTCCCGCGGTCGACTGGGACACCTTCCGCCCGCCCACAGTCGCGACGGTGCGGGAGGCGCTCCGCCGTGCGCGCCCAGCGGCCCCTGGCCCTGACGGCCTCCCAGCCGCCGCATGGGCTGTCGCGGCTGGCGGCGCGGAGGCCCTCCACCGCGCCCTTGTGCGGATGCTGGATGGCCTGCCCATGCGCTCAGACTACAACCACGCGATCAGTATCTTCCTGCCGAAGGGCTCGGTAGTGGCCGACATGGTGAGCGTCTCGAGAGCCCCTGGCTGCACGCGCCCGCTTTCGCTGCGCAACGCGGGGGCCAAGGCGATCAGCGCCGCCCTGAACCACCCTCTGAAGAGGGCTGTACAGGCGGCAGTGGCGCCTAGCCAGCGCGGCTTCATCTGCGAGCGTCACTTTCTCGAGAACCTAATTGAGCTCGACAGTCACGCGAGGATTGCAAGCATGAGGGCGCTGAATCGCCCCACCTCTGACTTCGCTTCGCCTCTGCTTCTTGCTTATGACTATGCTCATGCTTTCCCATCCGTGGCCCATTCGTGGCTCTGGGCCGTCTTGTACCATTGGGGAGCTCCAGAGGCCCTGGTGAATGCTATCCGTGCCAACTATCTGATGGCTGCTGCCGTTAGCTCTGACTGTTCTAGGGGCCTCCTCTTCCTCATCCTCGCTGGGGTCCTCCAAGGTGACCCTCTCTCTGGCAGTCTGTTCGTCCTAGCAGCTCATCCGTTCTGCGCAGACATGGAGCGCACCCTTGAGGCCGCTGGCAAAGGAGTCGGGAGGTGGTGTGCGGATGACGTGGGGGCGGTGGTGTGGGGAGAGGCTGGCCTCAAGGAGCTCGCTGGGATTTTCAAGAATTCCGATAGGCTGGCGGGGCTCGCCTTAAAACCATCGAAATGTTGTGCCACCCCACTTTGGGCCCCGTGGTCGGACGATCTCGTAGCCACGACGTCCGAGATGCTGGCCTCTGCGTGTGCCCCATGGGCTGAATTCAAGGTTGGTCCGACGCTTGCGTACCTCGGATGCACTGTAGGCCCCGCCGCGGAGAGCAAAGAGCAGTGGGCAGCACCAGTGGCGAAGCTCGAGCACCGCGTCGCTGCGCTGGCGCGGTCGCACGCTGACACTGCTGCCACCGTCTCTCTCTACCACGAGCGCGCGCTTAGTGTGCTCTCATACAAGTCGCAATTATATGAAATACCTCGGCCCCTCCAGCGGCGGGAGAAAGATTTGCTGACTCGTGTGTTTCGGGCCCCTGGATCCTGGCTCTCGACCTCCTGCTTCCTCGACCTCGACTCCCTCGGCGGTCCGCGGGCCCAGGGTATCCGAAGCAACGCTCTCGCCTCCAGGATGAGGACTGCCCTGTCGTTTAAAGAATGCTGGTCCAGGATGTGCGACCTCGTTGAAGCCGCTGCTTGGGAGCATGCCCAGGTTGGCCAGCTGCACTGGCGCGGCCCAAGTGGGGCCCAGGAGCTCTGCCACTGGCCGTCCTTCTGGCGGGAGCCGGCGGTGGCGTGGTCTCTGCGGGAGGCGGCGGAAGCGCGGCCGTCGCTGGGTCGGGACCGTCGGGCGGCCCTTGCGGGGCTAGCAGCCCTCGAGGCCGAGCGTCGTGCTGCGCGGGAACGTTCTGCACCGCAGAGGGCGGAACGATCTGGCGGTGCTGGTAGGGGGGGCCCTAGACTCAAAGCGCAGCGTGCTCTGTTGAGAGGCATCCGTCCTGCGATTTACCTTTCTCCCCTTCGTGCCCCTTCCTCCCCTCCTCGTTCCCTTATCGCCTGTCTGCGTCTCCGTCTCGTCAAATGGTTTTCGATCACCCTCGAGACCTCGGCGTCCTTCGACTGGGACGCCATCAATTCTATGCTCGCCGAGGCCCCACCCTCTTGGCGAATGGCCGCCATCCGCACTTGGACGGGAGGTTGGGTCACTGACACTAGACTAAGGAATGCCGACCAAGGCTGCCTGCTCGGTTGCGAAGGTGCCCGAGATAGCCTATCACATTACATCAATTGCCGTCGATTTCTCTGGAATGTTGCGATGGTCTCCCGTCTCTCCCTCCCTGCCTCCACCCCTGACCGTCTCGCTCTGTCGGAATGCTCGCTGGTGCGGCTGCGCCAGATAGTCATTCTTTATCACTTCCACCGTCTGTTGCATGCGAAGCGACGAGCTCCTGGCTCGGCCGCGCCCGACCCGCCTTCGTCTCTCCTCATTGCCCGCGCTGCTCGCCTAGCCACTGACCTGCCGATGGGCGAGTGGAGGCGCGCGAGCGTGCGGCGAGAGAGGGGCCAAGGGTAGTTTGACCAAGGGACATCCATGGACGCTCCGCCTCCTTCTCCTCCTCCTCCTCCTCCTCCTCCTCCTCCTCCTCCCTCCGAGCAGTGACTCCGAATCGAGCCCAGCGCAAGACTCAAACGAAGCCATCCCCGGACGCCAAGGGGGGCCCTCTTCTTCGGGCATCCTAATTCGCTGGCGTATCCTTCGGGTGCCCATCTTTGGGGCCTCCAGTTGCAGGATGGGGCCCAGCTGGCAATCTTCTGGCCGTTTCAGCCGGCATGAAGACTCCCCAGCAGGCGACCAAGAAAGCCCAAGCACGCCCCACGAGGCACCGAGGAGGGCCCGAAGAGCCACAGACAGCTCAACTGTGTGCCCCAATGCTCCCACGATGGCCCCACTGGGCTCGTCGAGGGGCGCTGGGAGTCTCACGATCCTTCAAACTCGTAATTATGTGTATCGCTGTCCGTTGCCTCGCTGCCAGGTCTGAATTGTCTGCTTCGTTTGCGCGCTTTGGCTCTTGCCCCTCTCCGTGGGGGCCACGGCGATGCCCCGCCATGAGCACGTTTGCAAGTGGCACCTGCGATGCCCCGCCTGTGCTAGCCAGATGTTGTTGCAACGTTGCGGAGGCCGAACAGCCAGCATGTGCGCGTAGGAAGAGTTGAGAGCGAGGGATGATGATGCAGCGAACAGTAGGTGAAGGAGGGAGAAGGCAAGGAGGGGCGAGGAGGGACAGACGAGGATCAAGGGCACTGGCTAGGAAGTAGTAAGGAGGACGGAGGAGCGGTGCGAGATGATGGTGATGGTGAGGAGGAGGATGAGGACGATGACGATGACGATGACGATGACGACGACGATGACGATGACTTTGATGATGATGATGATGATGATGATGCTGGGGATGATGCTGATTATGATGATGATGCTGATGATACTGATGCTGCTGGTGAGGAGGATGAGGAGTAGGATGACAATGATGATTATGATGCTGACTATGATGCTGATACTGTTGCTGATGATGACGATCACGCTGATGATGATGATGCTGTTGCTGATGATGATGATTTTGCTGAGAATAATGATGCTGATGGTGATGATGATGATGATGCTGCTGCTGATGATGATGATGATGAGGGCGAGGATTTGGATGAGGATAGGGACGACGATGATGATCAGGTTGATGCTGCTGATGATGGTGGGGGAGATGGTGATGATGCTGATGATGATGATCATGGTGATGGTGATGATGACCATGACAATGTCGATGATGACGATTATGATGATGATGATGATGATGATGATGATGATGATGATGAGAAGGATGAGGATTACGATAATGATAATGATGAGGATGATGAGGATGCAGATGATGGAGATGGTGATGGTGATGGTGATGATGATGTTGGTGATGATGATGCTGCTGCTGCTGATGATGATGATGATGATGCTGATGATGCTGATGATGATGATGATGATGATGATGATGATGATACGGGAGGATGGTGTTGATGATGATCATGCAGAGAATGATGACGATGATGATGACGACGAGAACAATGATGATGCTGATGATGCTGATGATGCTGATGAGGGTGCTGCTCCTGCCGAAGGTGATCATGATGATGGTGATGATGAGGTGGAGGAGGAGGAGGAGGAGGAGGACGAGGAGGAGGAGGAGGAGGACGACGGAGAGGAAGGCGAAGGGGGAAGGGAGGATGGAGGTGGGATAAACCAGGAGGAACGGGGGGGCAACGAGAATGGTAGGTGGTAGGAGGGAGCAGGGCGGAGGCTCAAGCGAGCGGGGTGGAACGAGGAGGGAGCAGCGAGAGAAGGGACGAGCGAACGTGAGAGGGACGAGCCCGCACTCCAGTTTCTTGGGCTGCCTGCTGCTTCCCAAAGCCCTGCCGGGGGCTCCATCGGGTGCCTCTTCGGGGGTTTCTCTGGGACCTCAGGTCATGGAGCGCAGCTCGGGGCCCGGGTCAAGGGAGGAACAAACCATCCCGACCCCGACAACTGGCGTTTACTACACGGCCCTGGGCGTTTGCTCAACAGCCCTGTCCTGTTCGGTTCCATCCACGGGCGCGTTTACCAAGCGGCTTCGCTTTATCAGGGTACCTCTTATGAAGGTCAATGTTCTGCCATCTACTGGGGGGGGGTCCCTGGGCCGCCCTGGGCGTCTCGCTCTGGAGCACCTTGCCGCTTGACCGTTTTTGAGTTTTGGCTGGGGATCAAGTTTTGGAATTCGTCCAGCATCCGCCTGCAGGGGGACACGCCCGACCGAAGCACAGGCTCTCGAGCAGCGTTGCGGCACACTCCGCGAGCGCGCCAGCGGAGCTGCGGCGCCAATGTGATCGCCGAGACGGCACGGAGCGGACCCCGGCGGGGGGCCTTCGCGCGTCATGGGGGGGGGGGAGCCGCCGAGGGCCGCCCTGCCAGAAAGGCAGCGGGAGTGCAAACCTGGATGAAGGCAGCGTGGATGAGCGCCAAGTCGGGCATGTCCGTCTACAGGAGGACTATTTGAACATCGTTTTCTAACAAACAAGCATAGTCTGGGGGCGATGCTTTGTTTTGTTGCGTTTTGAGCGGCTATTGTTTTGTTCCTTCCAGGATCAGCCTGTAGGAGGACATGCCCGACGTTATATTAGCGTCGGGCCCCGCTTCCGTGCAGAACTGGCGCGCTTTGTCGCTAAATCGGGCGGCAATGGCCTCCCCTGGTCGGGGGTAGCGTTCCTGGTGCGTGGATGCGGCGCCCACGCGCCAGATCCTTGGATCCCTAATTCAAGGTAGCGCGTGCCCGAGAAAACACAAACATTCTGACACGCCTCAGCGTGCGAGGGCACGGTGGCGGACAGAGAAAAGGATAGGGGCAATAATGGGGAACAGTCAAGAGATGGAGGCAAGCACAGGGGCCACGAGAAGGAGAAGGAGAAGGAGAAGGAGAAGGAGAAGGAGAAGGAAAAAGGCAAAGCAAAGGACGGCAAGAACGACAAGAAAGACAAGCCGAGGGACAGTGCCAGTAAGGCCGACGCCGTGGGCGGCGAGAAGCCCTCCAAGAAGGGTCGCAGCCCGAACGGCAAAGCGAAAGAAGGAGCTGCACTGGCCAAGGTCGAGCTGGCTGGTGGAACACCGGACGGCGGCCTCGCAGGTCTTGGTGACCTCGCGGCGCTGCAGAGGCGGCTCAGCGAGGACCGGGAAAGTTTGCAGCTCTTCGTGCTCAAGGCCAAGCAGGAGTTCGAGAATAAGCCGCAGGACAAGGACAAGGCGAACAAGCAGCGGCGGGACAAGGAGTACTTTCGCGCCGAGGTCGGGGAGCCCTGCGGCCCAGACAACCGCCTCATTATCGAAGAGGCGCTCGGCCATGGGGCGTTTTCGACGGTCTTCCGCTGCACTGACCTGAGGGCAGACTGCAAGGAATATGCTGTCAAGTTCATCCGCTCGAACGCGATGTTACGCAAGGCGTCCGAGAAGGAGGTGCGGCTTATGCGGAAGCTCCGCAGCCTGGGTTCCGAGAAGGATCCCGAGGGCGCCAGGTACCTGCTTGGCCTCATCGGCCCAGAAGTCTTCGACCACCAGGGCCATCTGGCAATGGTGTTCCAGCTACAGAAGTGCAGCGCTCGTGTGGGGCTGGCGAGGTACGGACAGGGACGCGGCTTGCCTCTGCCTCTCGTCAGAACATATGCACGAAACATATTCTTGGCACTCAGGACATTGTTTAAGATCAACGTTATACATGGAGACCTCAAGCCGGACAACCTCCTCATCTCCCTCGACAAGGCTTCCCTTAAGCTGTCCGACTTCGGGAGCGCAATGGAGATATCCGAGCGAGTGCGAACAGATTTTGTGCAACCGATGTATTACCGGGCCCCAGAGGTGATCCTGGGCCACACGTATACCACCCAGATCGACATTTGGAGCGCTGGTTGCACAATCTTTGAGCTCAGCACCGGCAAGTTCCTCTACACCGGGAGGAACAACAACGGCATGGTTCACGAGATGCTCAAGGGGTGCGGGCCATTCGCAAAGAAGTTCGCCACAACGGGGACATTCTCTGCCAGGCACTTCGATGCTGGGGGGTGCTTCCGACTGAAGCCGGAGTCTCCCGACAAGGCGGAGGAGACAAAGCCCATGTCGCTGTTCCCGAAGCACTCTCCCCAGGCCGCGCCCTTCCTGAAAAGGCTCAGGGACGAGACCAAGGAGCCCAGCGACTCGGTCGAGGCTAGGGCACACCAGAAGGCGCTCGGCAAGCTAGCGGAGCTGATCGCCAAGTGTATGATGCCGGACCCGTCGGAGCGCATTACGTGCGAGCCCGCTCTCGCGCACAGCGCCCTGAAGGAGCCGGCGTGATCTGGCCTCCGAGCGGCGGCCGGGGCAGGCGCCGCCGACTCGTGCAGTCTCTTGGAGGCGCCGAGGGCCGCCGAGGAAAACGACGAGCAGGCGAACGAGAATGACAGGAAGGACGAGGAGGACGAGGAGGATGAGCAGGAGGATGGGAAAGAGGAGGAGGAGGAGGAGGAGGAGGCGGAATAGGAGGAGGAGGAGGAGGAGGAGGAGGAGGAGGAGGAGGAGGAGAAGGATGACAAAGAGGAGAAAGGAGGAGGAGGAGGAGGAGGAGGAGGAGGAGGAGGACGAGCCAAATAGCAAGAAGAGATGAGGCGCAACAGGAGGAGGAGGAGGAGGAGGAGGAGGAGGAGGAGGACGCAGCCTCACCGCTCACCCCCGCGCGCTTGTTGCTCCGGTCTACCAGGAGGCACTGTTCCCAGCGCTCCCTCCACGCCTCGCATCTAGACGTCGTGGCGAGATCACGAGGCACGTGTTTGGCAGGTTCCGAGGCCTGGAACCATGATAGATCGATCCAGCTCGGAACATCCAGCAGGACGGTTGCTCTGATCGTGCCCTTTTTCACAACGTCGTGCGTCGGATGCTTGGGATCCCCTCCCGCGCACTCCAGCCATCTCGATGACAGTCAGAGGCTTGCTCGGGGTCTTCGCGGTAGCGTGCAGTCAACCCGCATAGTAAGGATGGGCAACCTTCCCAAGGGCACCCTTGCATCCTTGCCTTCTCGGTCCATCCTTCGCCACTCGCCCCGCTCGAAAAGCTTCGAGGTGGGCGTCCAAGGCGTCTGCATCCTTGTCGCGCATCCTTCTGGGTAGGGGCCGGCTGTAGCATCGGAGATTCCTTGTCTTGGCGCTCCTTCGGGAACCTATGGCCCTGGGACCGCCTCGTTGCGTCAGGGGACGCCTGGGCGGGTTGAACTGCCTGGGGCCGCCTCGTGGCGTGTGCTGCGCTCGGAGCTGCCTTGGGCTGTCTTTGAGCCTGGTGGCCGGGACTTCCTGGGGGCGGGCGCCGGGCCGCTCGGACAAGACCTGGCCTCTGAGCTGTCCTGGGGCCCTTTGACAGGCGTCCTGGATCGGGCGGGTGGCAGCGGGGGGTGGCCCAAATGGTTACCAGCTTGAAACATATCCCTATCCCTGTGTTTGACATCACCTCACCTCGATGCTGATCTTAAGGATTCCCTCAGTTTCTGAGGGCACATCCCTAAGGTCGTCCTCGCTTTTTGCTCGCCCATCTTGGGGATCGGGATAAGTTCGGGGCTGGTTAAATGGGGGGTGAAGAAAGGGCCCCCGAAGGGGCCATTCAACAGGCCCCAAAAGGGGCCCCACTGGGCCCCTTGAGGGTCCCTTTCTTCACCTCCGATGTGGGCCACCCCCCGTGGCCACCCGCCCGATTGGAGCCACCCCGGAGGTTGCGAGGCCGAGGATGTGCGCGCGAGGCGGCTCGGCGGGCGAGGCACTCTCCGAGCCTGGCCCTCGTCGCAGCCTCTTGCGCGCGCGCGGTTGGCTGCACGCCTGCTCGCTTGTGCCGGGGACGATGTCTGGCCTATTTTTGAGCATGTCTGGTGAAGTTGTGACTCTCTTTGAGTTTTCGTCGACAGTCTGCCTGCAGGGGGACACCACTTCGTGGCCCCCCGGCGCCCACGTGCCGAGCGTTCCCTGCCTCCCGCCCCGCGAACTGGAGCAACACGCCGTCCGCTCGTTCGGCACAGGGCGTGGCCGGGTCCACCGCCGCGAGCGGCAGCGCCGAAGGCCGCCAGCGACCCAGAGCTCGTCGACGTGGGACGATCGGACGTTTCGGAAACGGCTGATCCTTCGAGGCCGAACGATCCCCAGGGCGTCAGGAACGTGCGCCGAGGTCGGCACGACACGGACCTGCCCCATGCGACTCTGCCTTCGTCAGGAGGGACCAAGCAAACACACACAGACACCATTCATCGCCGACTCCTGGGAGAATAGGGGAAAATATGGGAAGTGATGGGGGAGACGAAAACCCAGAAGATAGGAGAAAATATGTCAGGAGGAGAAAAAACACACAGACACAACGAATCGTCGATTCCCCAGAAAATATGGGAAAATATGGGAAGTGGGAGGGAAGACAGAAACCTGGAAAACATGGGAACACATGGGGGATCTGGTTCTTTGTGTCTATTTATTTGTGTGTTCCAGTTCCCCCTCAACATGGGGAATCTGTTTATCTGTGTGCACTCAGTGGTGTGTCCCGGGGCCCCTTCGCTCCGCCTCGGCGGCCGCCCTCCGCCCGCGCAGGCCGCCTGCTCCCCCACCGCCGGCGGGCGCCACCGCCCGGACGGCTCGCTGCTCTTCGGCTGGGCGCACGACCTGAGCCTCGCGGCCCCCGCCCCGGGGAGGAGGAGGAGGAGGAGGAGGAGGAGGAGGAGGAGGAGGAGGAGGAGGAGGAGGAGGAGGAGGAGGAGGAGGAGGGGAGGAGGAGGCGGGAGGAGGAGGAGGAGGAGGAGGAGGAGGAGGAGGAGGAGGAGGAGGAGCGGAGGGGGTAGAACGACGCGAAGGTCGGGGCAAAATCGGATCGGGAGAGCTCGAAACCTCTGAGAATCGGCGGGTTTGGAGGATGTATTGGGCGCCGCGGCCGCCCCGGAGGGGGTAGAACGACGCGAAGATCGGGGCAAAATCGGATCGGGAGAGCTCGAAATCTCTGAGAATCGGCGGGTTCGGAGGATGTGTTGGGCGCCGCGGCCGCTCCGGAGCGTTCCGGAAGGCTCTGAGAGCGCTCCGGAACGCTCTGGAGCGATCTATCCCGATCCTGGCCCTGTTTAAGGGGGGGGGGTCGAGGATCGGATCGATCGGGAGCCTCGAGACGGGGGTCAACGCAAACGGGGGTCGGCCAGGGCACCAGATCCTGCAGGATCCTGCGGAGACCCCCTCTGGCTCACCCGGGTGAGCGAGCCGCTCGTGGCCGCGAGGCGGCCGCGCATATTGGTTGACCCGGGTTTGCGAAGACCTGCCTTGCAGTTGTTTTCCTGCGTTGCAGTTGTTGTTCTCCTGCTGACCCGGGTCTGGATTGACCCGGGTCAGAAGATCCCCGAATCGACTCGGCAGTAAGACGCGTCAATTTCCAAAGCGCCGTTCGGAGTCCCTCGAATGATGCAGAGGCCGCAAGGGTGGAACTTTCAGCTCAAAGTCAGTTGCGACAATACTTGAGGGTCGAGGGAGAAGGAGAGGGTCGATTGCTGTGTATGGGAGCCGTCGGCGGCGACGCTTTAAATCAGCTTTCCATGCATTTGGACCGCATGTGGCCCTTCTTCCTGCTCCTCCTCGCCCCTCATGTTCATCCTCTCACTCCTCGATCTTCGCGTCTCCAGTCCCAAATGTGTTCCAAATCCGGTCAACAGCGAGCCCAAATCGGACAGTTCCGAGGGCCACGCAGGCTTTTACAGAGCGGACACAGCAAGGAGGAGGAGGATGGGGGAGAAGGGGGTGCCTCTGCCCTTTTCCCCGCCGTCATTCACTCAGCGCCTGCTTTGCCACACGCTGCGATGCAGCTAAGGTCGGTCCAAGCAGCATGCGCGGTTAGCTACTCCGGATGCCTCACCGAGTGCCACCATTGCCACGAATACACGAAAGATCAGGACCGAAGGTGCGACCGCAGGAGCCGACCAGACGAGCGACAGACGAGGAGGATGTGGGAGGAGGGGGAGAAGGGTGTGGAGGAGGAAGAGGAGGGGGAAGGGGAGGTAAAGGAGGAGGCGAGCCACTGAGAACAAAGACAGGATGACGATGAGTCGGGGGAGAAAAAACACGGAGAGAGCAAACGAGGCAGCGTTAGGAAGTGCGCTGTCGGGTGGGCCTCATCGATGAGGTTGAAGGAGACGTCGTCAAGTTGTTTCGGTCACTGGTGCCGTAGAGCTTGAAAGCAACATTATGTCTGACGCGAAGCAGACTGCCCCCATTGCGCTAGCATCATGCGCGCTGCGTCTTCTACAAACGAACGAAGCCAGAGTGGAGTAGGGCACTGCGTCAACCACTAGCCGTACAGGCACGATCCCTGTATGATGGATCGCGAGGCGTGCGACCTCCTTCGTTCTCCCTTTGGCAGCGACGTCGGAGGAAACTCCTCAGGCGCTCCGCACCTCGCGAGGCGGTCATCCATTCCGCTCTTGAGGCCTCGCGCCCTCCCGCCCTCCCGTCCCCTCGCGCCTCTCTTCCTCTTCCTTTTGTTTCGGACGCTGCTGCTCGTCACCCTCTTAGTGCCCCCTCCCCCTATCGTGCTCCTCCGTCCTCCCGCCAAGCCCTCGCAGCTCCTCGTGTCGCACCCCCGTCCTGCCTGCCCCGACGAGCGAGCGCACTCTACGACCACGCTCTACCAACACACACGAGGAGGAGGAGGAGGAGGAGGAGGAGGAGGAGGAGGAGGAGGAGGAGGAGGAGGAGGAGGAGGAGGAGGAGGAGGAGGAGGAGGAGACGGAGGAGACGGAGGAGACGGAGGAGACGGAGGAGGAGCGAGAGGAGACTAGATCCGTTGACAGCCTTTCCCCATGCACCTCTCAGCACCATCCTGATCAGGTTTTCGAGCCGCGTCCGACTGAGGACACGAGTAAGCTGGCCATCGTAGTCTCAGAAAGGGTTCATCTTTTGGTTGAGCTTCACGCTCCATCACAGACTTCTCCGCGAGGACCAGTCGCCCACCTGCTGAGATGAGGAGCAGGGGGCCGGAACAATCACGGAGCGACCGCCGCTCCAGCGAGCCGCAGCTGCTGGGAAACGGCTCAGGCCAGGAAACGGAGGTGCCGCCACCACCCCCGACCGAGAAGGCGGAGATGAACAGCACGCCGAAGACGAACAGCATCACGCAGCCTCCGGCGGCAGCCAGGGCCGCCGCCTCCTGAACACCTCCAGCAGCTCCTCGGTGGGAGTGGACGCGGGGATGCCCAGGACGCGCACCAGCAGGTCGCGCTCCTGGGCGGAGATGGCGGCCGCCTCCGCCGCCTCCGCCGCCGCAGCGCGAGGGCCAGCTCCGGCGGCCTCCACCTCCGTGGGCACGACGTCGCGCCTCGACCGCACCGCGGTCAGCCGCGCCGCGCCGTCAGCCCACTCGTCGCCGTCCACGTCCACCGCGC